AACTATCTTCCCCAGCCCCAGGGCTCTATTTCTGATGTCAGTGGGTTATATTTGAGATAACCAAAAAATGATATGGTACTTGTTTGGGAAATAACCAGGTATCAGGATGAATGTGCATCACACATAACTTTAAAATGTATAGTGCTATATGGGGTCATTTTGGGTCTGAGACCAAACAGATGATTCTAAGTGGATTATGCACTGATGTTTTTATTTCTTCATTTAACCCTAAGTGGTAAAGCATACTTACCGTACTATATTTTCGACTTTGTGCCCTGCAGGCTCACTAATGTCTACCTATGTGTGTAACAATCATTCCCTAAACCTTTGAAGATGCTTCAAAGGCATAAATTAGCCTAGCTTGATAATTAGGTAAAAGCAACAACCTCATCCTAAGATAAAGGAACAGATGCAAAGAGTTTAAACAATGTTTTTGGTAAAACATCTTAGTATCAGTCAACCTAAAGGACAATTCTCATGACTGCTATGTGTCCTCAGCCCTAGACCACAGCACTTCAAGAGCCTGCACTCAGTTTTCAAGTGCCTACCTAATTCTGCCTAATAAAACCATTTTCTGTCTTTGACACTTTGGAATTCTGTAAAAATAATCCACCTATTTCATTGGCTAATATGAAAACCTATTAGCTAAGAGAGTAGGCTTAGGGACTTCAGGTGACATTCCCTCTATTGCCAGGCCTTTGACAATAAAAGCCTGGGTGAGGAGTTTACACAAGGCAAGTCTTAAATGGCAACCACGATCCTGAAGCCACTGACTTAAGGGACCGAGTGCATTAGCTACAAAGGCCTTCGGGGAATGTTGTCCAGTGGTCCAAAAAGCCACCGGAGGTGGGTCGTGCAGAAGTTCTTTCCACAGGCAGTGTCCCAACCCCATCCCGGAACAAAAGACTCATAAATTACAGGGGACCCAAATCTGTATTCTGTAATACATTTCCCTGAATTCAAACTGCCAGTCATACTCGTGCTTCTCTTCTGAGATTGTCTACTTGCGTTCAGAAAAAGCGCTCTTTAAGAATGACAATATCGCGGGTTTTGGGTAGAGTGTAGTGCATTCTGGGAAACGTAGTTCTCTGAGCGCACAGAAAAAAATGGCTGACCTGCCTGGAAAGATGTTGTTCGGGATCTTATAAACGTCCGACCCGACTTAATGAGTACCTGGCTAAGCAGTGCTCTTTTGTCCTCGAGAATGATAACGCGTCTAGGTGCAATGTGTGCTTTTGTATAGGGGTGAGTCTGGATACTGGTTGTAAGCAGTTGGAGTCGGGAGGTAAGGCCTGACCTTCTTGGATACCAGGCTGCCTGCAGGCTGGCTGTAGGAGACGCAGCCGGATCGCGGGATGGGGCTGGAAACGCACCCAGACGGCACCCAGACGCCCGCCGCAGGCCCTGCAGCTGGGCGGGTGTGGCAGGAGTGAAAGGCTGCAGGGAGGATGTGACTGTGAGTGAGAGCGAGAGCGTGCGCTTGAGGCCATCGACAGATTGACGATTTTGGATGCCCCCTTTGCACTGTGAAGTGGGGAAAAGTACCGGTAGTTGTTTGAGGTCCGTTTACTCAAATATTTAGAAAAGAAAAACTAAATAATAGATGTGATAGCAGTATAAAATAGGGTTTTTGTTTGCTAGATACATTTATTCTTAAAATATCCATAGTGACTTTTAAATGTGGACAGAAAAATATGTGAAAGCAATTTGAAAATTCATTTGACTATATCGGTGGCCCTACTTCTGGGATTTCATTTTGTTGAATACCTTACTGGCTTGATCGATATCTCTTAAACTTATAAATCAAGAAATGTAAGTTTTCCAACTTTATTTTCAAAGTTGTTTTGAGTGTTTGAGTCTGGCATTTCCAAATGAATGTTGTTTTATTTTCTTATTTATTTATTTGGTACAAGGTCTCGATATGCAGCTCAAACCGGCAGCAATCCTGTCTCAGTTTCCTCAGTGCTGGGATTACAGGTGTGGGGCACCACATTCAGTTTCAGGGCTGGGTCGGGATCAAACCTCGGTCCTTGTGCTTGCCAGGCCAGGGCATAGACCACCGAGATATCTCCCCAGCCCTGAAATGAATTAGTTATTTATTGGTTTGATTGTACGGGGATAGAACTCTGGACTTTAAGCTTGCCAGGCAGGCGCTTAGGCTCCTGAGCTAGATACCCAGCTCCTGAAATGGGTTTTAGAAGCACCATAAATCCTTTTTTACATCAGTACATGGCAGGTACTGGAACTTTCATTTTTATGGATCACTTTGGTCAGAATTGACGTTTAACCATTTTCCAAACTGGATTGAAACCAGGCCCTCCAGATGAGATACATCCCTAGCACCTCTGTATTAATTTAATTTAATGTAATTTAATATTTGGAGGCAGTGTCTAGGACTCTTAAGTTGCTCTGCATGTGCTCAAGCTTGTGTTTCTCCTGCCCTATACTCCCGTAGTGGTGAAAGTACAGGTGTGCACCAGTAAGCCCCGCCAAGAATTGACTTCTTAACATTGTCTTTTACTTATTTATTTTTTAAACTTATATACATCAGAACTTTATTTCTCATAGAATATTGTCTTTTAAGTCATAAATATGAAGTATGTATTTATAATTAAGTATTCTTTATTTGCTCTCAGCATTATTTTCAGTGCCAATCTTGTGCATTTTGGCCTAAGAATCTCATCTATATGATGCTATAGTAAATGGTTTTTGTATATTTAGTTTTAATTTGCAGGTATTATTAGTTTAGGAATAAAATTGTATTTTAACAAAAAATACAGTTGACTGAAATTCATGTATTAGATTGGCTGGGGAAATAGCTCAGTGATCTAAGCATCTGCTTAGTACCACATGCTGAGCCAGCCCCAGAGCCCTGGGCACAGTACCAGCCCTGCCACAGCAGTGGGGAGACTGAGACAGGAGGATCACTAAGAATCTGAAATCCATAGTGAAACTTGGTATCCAATTAAAAAAAAAAAAAGATCTGGTAACTTTTTTCTGTATTCATTAAGATTTTCTCCATTGAAGTTTTTATTATGTGCATAGAGACAGCTCTTCTTTTTCATATTTATTTTATTTATGCCATACCTACAATGTGTTCTGAATAGAAATGACAAGAGGCGTGGTGTGACACACCTGTAATCCCAGTACTTGGGAGGCTGAAGCAGGAAGAGCACTTCGAATTTGAGGCCAGCGTAGGCCACAGAGTGAGTTCAAGGCCAGTGTGAATTGCATATGGAAACCCTGACTAAAAAAGGACAAAAAAAATTAACATCCTTTACCTCATTCCTAAGAGAGAAAACATTCAACCACTTATCACTAAGAACAATGGTAGCTGAAAGTTTTTTCTGTAGTTGTTTACTATCAGATTGTAGAAATTCCATTGTATTCCTCATGTTATTGTTCACAGCTTTTTTTTTTTTTTGGTGGCTAGTGGCTCAGCCCACACTGGGGGTGCCAGGGATCAAACTATGGTCCCTGTGAGCTTTTGTAAGCTTGCCTAAGCAGGCGCTTTAGACCACTGAGCTATCTCGCTGGCTCTGTTCACAGCTTTTTTGAGAAATATGTGTTAGATTTTTTTCCCAAGTACTTTTGCTACATCTTTCAAATGATCATTTGTTTTTTAACTAATACACTGAAATTTTTCTGTCAACAAGAATTTTAATGATTTTTAAATACTAAACTTGCATTTCTGGGACCT